TCATTATAATATTTTAATTTTTCAATCCAAAAAGACGTCGTTTTGGGAGTGAATGTAGATAACTTATCTACATTCACTGTAGAAACATTAAATCCTATATATATATATATATATATATATATATATATATATATATATATATATATATATATATGTATATGAAAAAAATATTTCTACAATCACATTAGATAAGGTTATCTACAGTTAGCCCAAAAACTACGTCGTTTTAATTAATGAAGAATGTTTATGTAATTTTAGGTGAATTAATGAAGAGTGTTTCAGTAAAATGTATAAGATAAAAAATAAACAAAATTATGAAAACACATTTCATTAATTCACCTAAAATTACAGAAATACCCTTCATTAATCAAAATTTTGGGTAGCTGTAGATAACTTTATCTAAAGTGTTGTAGAAATTTTTATCCATATATATATATATATATATATATATATATAGGAAGGATTCATTTACAAATTTTTTTTACAAATTATATTAAATATGATCGTTCATACTTAGTGTAGTTTGTAAACAAATAATTTGTAGGGATAAGATCCGTTTACAAATTTTTTTTGCAAATTACACTAAGTACGACCGGTCGTACACTGCATGATTAAATTATGATCGGTCGTACTTAGTGTAGTTTGTAAGAGTTTGTAAACAAAAAAGTTTGTAAATATAACGTGTCCCTAATTTGTAAATATAACATCCCCGTATATATATGGGATATGTTATTCTATATACTGTTTTTCTACTTACCTTTGCCTATCATCTTCCAATACCGTTGGATCAGAATCTCAACTGCATTTATTATTTCTCTCTTCTATTGAGACTCTGATCCAACGATGTTGGAGAGTGATAGACAAAGATAGACAGAAAAAATGATAAATAAAATAATCATGAAGTTAGTGGTCTAGTGCCCATATATTCAAAAGCATTAAAACTTAAACCATAAGAAAAGACAAAGCATAACCTATCATCCACTTGACTACAGAAATCAATCTATATTTTCTTTTTGTTAAGACAACCAAGATCTGAACTTCTGAAGCACGTGTACACCAGAAATGAAGGTGTACACACGTACCTGCTATGTATTGAACGAGAATGAGTATGGTTGCGGCTCGGGTACGGCTTGTCCAAAAGCGACGGCATTTGTTCCTTTCTTCCTTTCCACCTGCTTCATTTGGTTTTATATTTTTTTTTAATTACATTCGGGTATCTCCACAGTCGATAGTTATGAGACTAATCTCTTGTCCCAAGTCAGCGCATAAAGCGGTAAAGAGCTGGCCACGGAATACTTTTCATTCACAAGAGTTGGGGTTTACTTTATATTTTGAGTTTAATTGTTTAGAGACTATATATAATTAGGGAAAAATTATATTTACAAATTTTTTGTTTATAAATTTTTATAATTTACATTATTTTTAACCGGTAATACATTTTTTACTAGAGTATTACCGGTCAAATATAGTGTAATTTAAAAATTTATAAAATAAAAAAAATATGTAAACAGATTCTTTTCCATATAATTATAAGATAATATTTCTTGGACTCTCGGGCATTTACTATCTTAGGCATTCCTAATTATTATTATTATTTTTAAACTACTTATTATTAGGGAAAACATAAAGAAAATTCATCTCTAAAATTATATATTTTTTTGTTAAATCTTTTGTGTTTTTTTCTTAATACTTATCTCTCTTGTTTTTTTTTTTCAATACAAGTTCACTTCTAACATCATTAAAAATTAAGTTAATTTATTCGTTTTATCCCCGAATAATAAAATAATTACATAAAAAATAAATGATTACAAAAATATATAGAAAATAAGTGATTACAAAATGAATTCCAAGAGGTTTTGAATAATTCCCTTATAACAATTAAAAAAATAAAAAAATTGGTTCAACTTACTGTGAGAACTAAAATTTACTGCTCAAGAAAAATATTTTTTCAAAGTCTCTTTGAGAAAAATTAAAATTGGGAATATAAATATATAAAGGCTTATGTAATATATTTTTTCTGTAATAACCATCTATTTGTATAACTTTAATAGTTAAAAAGATTTTGATTTTCATACATACATGACTTCTATTAACTGTTCTGGTCTTAGCTTTTCAAACTATCACAAAAAAAATAAAAAATAAAAAATAAATGGGAAAAAAGTTTCCGATGTTACTTTAGATAACTTTATCTAATGTTCATCGAAACGACGTCGTTTTGGAATTGAAAAATTAAAAAATTAGAGTGATAAAGACTATTATAACCCTGAAATAAATTAAAATTACAAAATTACCATGATTTCCGTCACAAAACGACGTCGTTTTGATGAACATTAGATAAAGTTATCTAAAGTAACATCAGAAAAAATAAACCCAAAATGAATAGAGGCAGTGTCATTCTTTGCTTTTATGTGAGGAGGTTGATCTTTTCCTTGTCATCCTTCTCGCAGCACTTTTAACATTCTGGTCTTCTGCTATGAATTTTTAAAGAGAGACGAGAAATAACACAAAATATATCGAAAAATGAAAACATGCAACTAATCGACATTTTCTTGCTAAACAATAAAAAACTTTTTTTCCTGTAAATCTCATAAAAATAGAAACACACAAAAATATTACATATTTTTCTGTAATTAAATTTATTTTTGATAATGTTAACACCTATTCATTTAAGTTTTCATAAAATTTTAATATTATCATTTTTGTTACTATAATATTTTTCAACAGGGTTATGTCGATCTCATTTTACATAAGATAAACAACTCTCCTACACACAAAAAGGAGATGAGTCTCATCATTCTTTTTTCTCTCTCCTCTTATCTGTGGGTTCCACTTATACTTTTATTTCTATAATGTAAGATAATTTTTCCTACAACATAATAAAAATATTTTTTTTTCAATATTCTAATCAATAAGGTGTGCCGGTCATTATCAATTTATCATGCATGCATTCAAATATGTTTATATATCATTGGTTAGTGGGCCCAAACAACTTTCTCCGAAGCTACAAGCTGTTGGGCAGTGGGCCCAAACCACTTTCTCCGAAGCTGAGATTACCATACGAAGGAATCACACGATAAGCATAATCTAATCCTTTATAATTAAATAAATATATTTCTGCAGTGACCAGACAATCATTACAACGTGGCGTATTTGTTTATTTATATTTTTATAATAAGACAATCATAATTCACATCAAACAATCAGACTTATCTGTCACTACTGTTAAATTTCTCAGGGAACTTTCATTGATGCTGTATTTAAAATGAGCGATTAAATATCTATTTTATTGATTAATTTATCGTAAATGTTTAACAATATTTAAATCCACAGGAAAATTCACCATGTATATCAAAAACATAAAAAAATAATAACAAAATAACAAAATATTTCTTCATCATGTTCCATAATTATGAAAAATTATTATTTAAATTTATTTTTAAAATTAATATATATATATATATTAGTTTTAATTTAAAATAGATAGTAATCTTAAATTAGTAAATAATTTTTTTATACATAGTAAGTAATTTTAAAATATATAGTATGTATTTGTTTTTAAAAAATCTACACTCATTATATACAACCGATATAAATTGGCTTATTAACTGAAAGAGATGAAAAACAAAAAAACATTTCAACGTCACAATGTACACAACAACACGTAACATTATTTTTACATTGATGGCAGATAAATTATTTATATTCACTCTTAAAATGATATCATTTTAATTTTAAAAGATTAAAAAATTATAATAATAAAAATTATTATTACTTAAAATAAATTATAATTATAAAAATACTTTAATTTCTACCCTAAATTATGTGATTAAATACAGATAAATTATTTGCAGTCATCGCAGAAAAAACGAACCTTTTAACAAATTACATCATGCTATTGTAATTCTAATTATTGTTATTGTTAATTTTTTGCTGGAGATTGTGATTATCTAATGCATAATTAATCTTGATTACTGTAAAATTTAATTTTTCAAAAAATATTTCAATAGAATTTAAATTATAAACTATTTTGATACTTAATTAAAGTATAACTTAGTTCTTTTTCCCGGTAAAAATGAATATTTTAAATCGAGAAGAAAAAGTCTATAGATAAAGTACTCAAAAAAATGTTTAACTTGAAATCCAATTTCATTAAAGTCGCTCCTTCTTCTGTAACTTAAAAAAAAAAAATTCAGACAATTCATACTATAAAATTTAAAATAAAGTAATATAAATTTTGAAGTTCGAATTTTGGGCCATCTATAGATTATTTTAATTAATAAAATCAAATGCTTAGCAAAAAGAAAATGGACAAAATATATTGCAAAATCAAACACTCAAACCATCAATGCTAAAAAAAAAAAAAAAACTAATTCATTTCCTTTTTCTTTTTGAAAGAAAGAATAGATTATTATAAAATTATGAGATGAAGATTTTATTAATGCTGTCATAAAATAATATATTAATACATTACAGAAAAAATGAAATTTCGTAAATAGGAGATATATATAGTAACCAGTTTTTTTTTTTATTAAATATGTTGATAATATACTATCAAATGTAAACAAAATTTAAACAAAAATTAAACCTCAAGTCCCTCTTTAATTAAAATCTTGCCCTTTTTAATTAGGAAAAAATTAAAATTTAAAAGGAGTTGTCACGTCTCTCTCTCCCTCCCCGATTGAAAAAAGTGCTCAGCACTAATAAAAGATTTCTCCTTTAACTAACCTTCTTTGGTGACATCATGGGTCAGTTGTCGTTGTATACGTGTGGAAGAAAATATTTGAACCACATGTTCCTTCTCATTGATTTATTTAAATAAATTAATTGACTGTTTTGCTAGCCCAGATTATGGTCACCACTAATAATCTTATTTTTTTTTCTTTAATTTATGTGTTAATTAATTAATTAACTACTAATTACCTTTTTTACTTTGAATGTTGCTACACTTATAAGTTACAAGTTTCCATCAAGTCAACTTTCCCTTTTTGCTAGCCGCCAGCAACACCAGCGCTTGTGTTTTTCTGGTCAAATGAAATCTTAATGTAACGAAAAACCAGCATTTTAAGGTTTTCTTCTTGTTCAGTGCAGCATAAACCAGGTTTTCTCATTCACTCCCTTTGTTTTGCTAACTATAATGTCTCCTCGTATGTGTTTCTTCCTCCTCGTACTTAACAAAACTCTTGTACTTCTAAGTTCAGTCTCAGCAACTGAATTTGTGTATAACAGAAACTTCAACTCCACCAACTTGAAGCTCTATGGGAATGCCACCATCCAAAACTCAGTTCTTACTCTCACAAACGAAACCTTTTTCTCCATTGGTCGTGCCTTTTACCCTTACAGAATACCTGTGAAACCGCCAAACTCTTCAAACCCTCTTCCCTTTGCAACCTCTTTCATCTTCTCCATTGCTCCTTGTAAGAATTTCCTTGTTGCTCATGGTTTTGCTTTCATGTTCTCGCCTCTGATGGCCATAAATGGAGCACTCACGGGGAATTATTTGGGCCTTTTTAACCGCTCCACTTCAGGTAATTCTTCCAACCATGTTTTTGCTGTTGAGTTTGATGATTTTAGAAATGAGGAGTTCAATGAACAAAATGATAATCATGTGGGGGTTGACTTGAATTCAATGATTTCTACTTATTCGGAGCCTGCTGGTTTCTGGGGTGGAAGAGATGGTGAAGAAATGGAGAACTTGAAGCTGGCTAATGGTGAAAACTATCAAGTTTGGATAGAGTTTGAGAATTCACATCTTAATGTTTCTATGGCCCCAGCAGGGAAAAGGAAGCCTCAAAGGCCTTTGATTAGTAAGCCTATTAACCTTTCTGGGGTTTTGTTGGATGAAATGTATGTGGGATTTTCTGGATCAACAGGGAGAATGGTGGACGTTTGTAGAATTCTTGCTTGGAGTTTTAGCCATTCAAACTTTTCAATTGGTGATGCTCTGCAGACCAAACATTTGCCCTTGTATGTGCATCCAAAGGCATTGATGTTTAGATCAAAGGGTTTCATTTTCGGTGTCATTTTTGGTGCGGTGTGTTTCATTGGTTGCTGCATTTTGGTGTTTTGCAGTTTGTCCAGAACCAGAAGGGAAGAGAAAGAGGAAAAAACTGAAGATTGGGAATTGGAGTATTGGCCACATAGGATTAACTATCAGGAGATTTGTGCTGCAACAAGCGGATTCTCTGAGGAGAAAGTGATTGGGATTGGAACAAGTGGGAAAGTATATAAAGGGATTTTGAAAGGAGTAGAAGAAGTTGCAGTGAAGAGAATCAATCATGACACTAAGCATGGAATGAGAGAGTTTCTGGCAGAGATTTCAAGCCTAGGCAGAATGAAACACAGAAATTTAGTGGGTTTCAGAGGTTGGAGTAAAAGCAAAGGAGGAAAATTGATACTTGTTTATGATTACATGGAGAATGGGAGCTTGGACAAAAGGATCTTTGAGTGTGAAGAGACCATGCTGCTGAGCTGGGAAGAAAGAATTAAAGTTCTACAAAACGTGGCTTGTGGAATTTTATATCTACATGAGGGTTGGGAATTTGAGGTCTTACATAGAGACATCAAAGCAGGTAATGTACTACTTGACAAGGATATGAATGCCAGATTGGGAGATTTTGGGCTTGCAAGGTTGCATCACCAGGAACATGTGGTTGACACAACAAGAGTAATAGGGACTTTGGGGTACATGGCACCAGAACTAGTCCGAGTTGGGAGACCATCAACTGCAACTGATGTGTATAGTTTTGGAATATTGGTTTTAGAAGTTGTATGTGGGAGAAGACCCATTGTAACAGATAAGCCACCATTGGTTGACTTGGTATTTTCCCTTATGGAGAGAAGGGAATTGAGTTGTGCCATTGATGAGCGTTTGAAGGCTCAAAGTGGTTATTATAATAACACTGAGGAAGCTAAGAGACTGCTTCATTTGGGTATGTTATGTGCAAGTTTAGACCCTTGTGTTAGGCCAACAATGAGGCAGGTAGTGAAAGCTTTGGAGGAAATAAAATGCAATGAGTGTAACGAAGACTGCATTCATATGGGTCTGCTTGGAAAAATAAACTCAGCAGCATCGTGGTCTAGGAGTTCTCCAAATTCTGCCCATGTAAATTATCTTACTTTTGATGAGATTTTGCAGACCAAATTTTATTCTACGGCATCTTTAAGCATCTCTTGTCCCAGCCCACAGCCAGAGCCAGATTTTGTTTCAGAAGGAAGGTGAGAATTGAAATTGATTCAATCATTATGTTACTATTCAGATTTCAGAGAGCCTCGGATGCTGTTGTCACGTGGCAAAGATTTTTCATTTGTAAAGTGCAAGCATTTGCATATAAATTTGGGGTGCTTATTTTCCCTTTTTCGGTGCCATACAAAAATTCAAATTTCTTTCTTAAATACTTATGTTCAGAGTTCTTTCTTGAGATAAATCTAAATGCAACATAGACACAGGTTTTGTAAAATTTTAATGATATTGTTCTTGTCAGTTAGCTGGTCCAAGAATGGAGGCCAATACCATAAGCTCATAAGGCTCCTGCTATACCAGCGCTGTTGTGACAGAACTGCCATGACAGCACTAATATGCCAGTGTTAACATATCAGGAGTGAAATTTTAGTGCACCCGGTGCACAATAGATTCGATGGGGCGAACCAATGAGAAGCCGATATTTTAATCCAATTGTCATGCTTTTAATGGAAGGTCCACCATGCACCCGGTGCATATTAAATATTTCCACATATCAGATATCTCAACGTAAGACACACAAAGTCCTACGTTGGGACATCTCTCCCTCACTTTATCTCTGCACGCTCACAGTGCTTACAAGATACCTTGTCCAAGCAAGGCATGGCTAGAGTGGCTTTTCTCCCACACATGAAAAGCTCAGCCTCACCTATAAATACCCTCTTCATCTTTCACAAAGACACACTATACACTTCTTGCATGAAATGTTATGCTGCTATTATAAAGAGCCACTATAACCATATTACACACCGCCCGTTGACACAACACCTGAGAAACCCCCATAAAGCCTTGATTCATATTATTGCTGCTTAAGGACGTCCCTAGAGTGATACACTCAGCCCATTGAGGGTTACATGTCTAGTTCTCTAGCACTACTACAGTTCAGAGATATACATTTGCAACAGAGAATAATAATCTGAGGTGTATGAAACTATGGAGCCCACCCCTGAAAAAATTAAGCTCTATTAGAATGTGATTTTATTTTTGTATTTCAAAATCTGTTTTGAATATAAATTCTGAAAACTAATTTTGAAATAAAAGAACAATAAAACTTGTTTGAGTGTAGTTAAATTTAAAGTTATAAAAAAGTTGTAATTATTTACAAAAATATCATTAATGAAATTTAATAGTTACAAGATTGTTACCGTAAAGTAATTTAAAATTAAAAAATAAACAAAATTTGTTTATATAAGTGCCATTAATAAATTCTCGTATTTACAAAATTATTATCGCAAAAACAAAAAATAACTTTTGAGAACATCCTTAAGTTGTTTTGTTTTCTTAGCTTTTAAAACTAAAAAACAATCATTGTTTTGGGATTTTTTTTTGAAACAACTATTTCCAAACAATTTTTTTTTTTTTTTACTTTTTTATTTTAAAATTTCAAAATCTGTTTTTAGGAACAGAAATCAAACATGTCATTAGTTTTCTTTTTTCTCTTCACCTCTTTATTTTGTTCAAAACAAAACTCTAAGAACCTGTTTGGAGCACCTGTTAAAGAAGATAGGATAGGATAACTTATCATACCCTATTTTTATCTCTTGTTTGGTGGGTTAATAGGATATGATTAGCTTATCCTATTGTCTCATTTTATCTTATTCAATATATGATTTCTTATCCTATGGAGGAAGTTGGGTTAGAATTCAATAGGATAGGATACCAATATTGGATACCCAATATATCCCCACGCTACCCCATATATCCCTATGCTATCCAAAATATTTGTATTCATTGAATTATATTTTGTTTTTCCTCTCTTCTTTCTCTTTCTACATAATTTTTATCAGATTGCTAATCAGGTGCTCATCAAACACAGGACATGATATAGGCTTATCAGCCTCATATCATATCCTACCCTTATTAGCCCCATATCATATCATACTCTTATCTTATCTTATCCAACAAACGAGCCCTAAAATGTGCTCGGAAAGAGCAAAATAAAAAGAAGAAAAATAGTTACATAATGACAACATAGTTAAGCTTGTACGTAAACAGATTACAACTTACAACTCTCCATTCTAACTCTCACAAATCACACTTAAATTTCACATATCTAATGCTGCTGTGCTGTGGGTACTAATGATACGTACGTTATCCTCAAAGTTGGTTCTACGAATTAAATGCAAATTACCAAACCATGTTTGAATTGATGGGTTGACGTGCAATGACCTGTGTGGGCCGACAGGTACTTTACAAAAAAGTAAGTACTGTGTGTCTTAGCAATTTAATTTTCCTTGTACTTACCCTTGGAGACTTAACAAGAGCTGAAGAATCATATGCTGCAACCAATTTCAATTTGGAAAAGTTTCTCTTCCATTCTCAGTTCCTTGCCAATGTCTCCACTTAAGCTCCTTGACCTTGTCATTCTTCTTCACACTATAACCACTCTGAGTTCAGTTTCCACTACTGAATTTGTCTATAATACAAACTTCAACTCCACAAACATCATTCTATATGGAAATGCCACTACTCAGACCTCCATTCTGACTCTCACTAATAACAGTTTCTTCTCCATAGGCCGTGCTTTTTACCCTCAAAAAATACCTATGAAACCAGCCAACTCTTCCACCTTTCTCCCCTTTGCAACCTCCTTCATTTTCTCTGTTGCCCCCATTAAAAACTTTATGAGTGGTCATGGCTTTGCCTTCATATTCACACCATCACGAGGTGTAAATGGCACGACCTCAAATGAGTATCTTGGTCTTTTCAACTTCAGCAATGAAGGTAATCCTCAGAACCATGTTGTTGGAGTTGAGTTTGATACAATAAGAAATATAGAATTCAACGATATGAATGACAATCATGTTGGTGTTGACATAAACTCGCTTACTTCCTTAACTTCACATGAGGCTGGCTATTGGGGTGGTAAAGATGACAAGGAATTTAAGGTGCTGAAGATAAAAAATGGAGAAAATTATCAAGTATGGATTGAGTTTATAAATTCCCAGCTTAACATTACTATGGCTAGAGCGGGACAAAAGAGACCAAGAGTGCCTCTTATCAGTAGGAATGTTAACCTTTCTGGGATTCTTATGGATGAAACGTACGTTGGGTTCTGTGCAGCAACAGGGAGGATAATAGACAGTACTAGGATTCTTGCTTGGAGTTTTAGTAATTCAAATTTTTCAATTGGTGATGCTTTAATGACAGACAATTTGCCCTCTTTTGTCCTTCATAAAGGGTGGTTTTCTGGAGCACGAGCTTTAGTTGTAGGGGTCACCAGTGCTGTCTCTGTGTTAATCATTGCTTGTGGTTATGTAGTGTTTTACATTCTCTGCAGGGGAAACAAGGCTGAGGAAGAAATTGAAGACTGGGAACTGGAGTACTGGCCCCATAGAATTAGTTTCCCTGAGATTGATGCAGCAACAAGGGGGTTCTCTGAAGAGAATGTGGTTGCTGTAGGAGGGAATGGGAAGGTTTATAAAGGGGTTTTGCAAGGAATAGAAGTTGCAGTCAAGAGAATCCCTCAGGAAAGAGAAGAAGGGATGAGAGAGTTTTTGGCTGAGATTTCAAGCCTAGGCAGAATGAAACACAGAAATTTAGTAGGATTGAGAGGTTGGTGCAAAAAAGAAAAGGGAAATTTGATTCTAGTTTATGACTTCATGAACAATGGAAGTTTAGATAAAAGGATCTTTGAGTGTGAAGAGAGAAAGATGCTAACTTGGGAAGAGAGGATTGAAGTTTTGAAAAATGTAGCCGCAGGGATTCTATATCTGCATGAGGGTTGGGAAGTTAAGGTCTTACATAGGGACATCAAAGCAAGCAATGTTCTACTTGACAAGGACATGAATGCTAGGTTGGGGGATTTTGGATTGGCTCGTATGCATGATCATCATGGACAAGTGGCTAGCACAACAAGAGTAATAGGGACAGTAGGATACATTGCTCCTGAAGTAATTAGAACAGGAACAACATCAACTCTGTCTGATGTGTTTGGTTTTGGAATATTGGTGTTGGAAGTAATTTGTGGGAGACGACCTATTGAAGAACATAAACCAGGGCTTATTGAATGGGTGATGTCCCTAATGGTGCTTGGCCAATTGCACAGTGCTGTTGATGCAAGGTTGAAGGCTAAGGGGGAATACACCATTGAGGAAGCTGAGAGATTGCTTCATTTGGGTTTACTATGTTCAAATTCAGACCCTAGTATTAGACCAACGATGAGACAGGTTGTGAAAATGCTGCAGGGGGAAATGGAAGGGGTTGAGTCTGATGAAGAAATCATGGAGATGAGTTTGCTTGGAAAAATAAAATCAGCTGCTATGTGGTCTAAATCTGAATGTAGTTTTCCATATAAAGGTCACCCTACTTTTGATGAAATTAGGATGTTCAGTGTTAATTCTACTACGTCTAGAAGTGAATCAGGTACCATTCCAGGATCAGAATCAGATATCATCCGAGAAGGCAGGTAATATTTTAGGTGTTTAGTTGTTTCAGATTTTAGGTTATCTTCCATTCTATTGTAATGAATAAAGAATATTCAAAGTCTAGCTTATTTGGAGCTTGTGTACAATACCAGAAAAGGAAGTCAAAAGTTTTATAGAATTTTCAATGCTCGTGCTTGGATAACGTACAAAGGAGGGTTCATAGTAATGTAACCATATCAAATGAAATTCATAAAATCTAAATTGGCTTGCCACGGGATTTGGGTGATGGATTCTTCTTCATATGACTTGTGCTACACTGAAAGCAACATAACTTGAGGATGCTTGAAAATTATGAATAACTTAGCAAGCTTGTTACCTCTCACTCTCAGTCCCCAAAAAATAAACTGAAAAATTCAAAGATGAGCTTTATATAAAAAACTTAATCCAATTTTTTCAGTTTTTACCATCTAGAATTGATTTGGGGTCCTCTTAGAATTGAGGGTGAAAAATATTGAAATTAAAATTTCACAATTTCTCGTTAAAATCTAATATTAAATTTTCACTCGGGTATTATAAATGTGTCCCTAACTTCGAAAGGAAAAAATTGCAAAAATGACAATATTAACCGAAATGTGGAGAGCATTTTCCGTGCAACGGTCGCACATGCAACCTCCATTCAAAAAATTGCACCTGGATTAAATTTTTCTTTCTTCTGACTTCTCCGTACAACATCTCCATTTTCTCTCTGGCATTGATTGGCCCGTCGCACCGAATCATAGTACGACGAGAGTACCTTAAAAATTTCCCAGAAATGTGAGGCATTAGAATGGCCCACAATCTCACATGATAATTTGGTGAGAAGTTAGGTTTATTACCCAACCGAGTCATGGTGCAACCGGAATACCTTAAAAATTTCCCTCAAATGTGAGGCATTAGAATGGCCCACAATCTCATATGATAATTTGGTGGGAAGTTAGGTTTATTACCCCCAAGTTAAATACAGGAATAAGGACCAACGAGGTTGGAGACCTAGCCGTGTAGGATAATTAATATGATTCTCTTACGGGTGTGAGCAATTTGAATTGTTCAATAAAGATAAAAGTGGGATTCAGTTGTTATCGGCTTAAAGCTAGTAATTTAAGTCTATACGAGTAACATCAAGCAAGTATTTATTTTGACACAGTTGAGTATACCAAAGATAAAAGAAACATACATGCCTTAAGCCTCAAATCTCCAATTACTCCGGAAAACATACATGCCAATATGCATACGTCAAAACATAAACTTCATGAATACAAACTTCAACATGAATACGTCAGCAACACAAACTTCAACTCTTCTAATATCTTTCTATATGGCAATGCCACTATTCAATCATCCATTCTGACTCTAACCAGTGAGTTTCTTCACCCTAGACCGTGCTATTTAACCTCAAAACATAGGTACCAAACTAACTAACTCTTCCACCCTTCTCTCTTTTGCAGCCTCCTTCATTTTCTTTATTGCCCCCATAAAACATTTTCTTACTGATCATAGTTTGGCTTGTCTTTCATGTTATCACCGTGTAGGGGCAAAAACGGAACTACATCATTTGAGTATATTGGCTTCGTAAATTTAACCAATGAAGATAACTCTCACAACCCCATTTTTAGAGTTGAGTACGATATCAGGAAATATAGAATTCAATGACAATCATGATGTAATCAACATATTTCCTTAACTTCACATGCAGAGCGCTACATGGGTGGGGAAGATGATAATAAACTCAAGCAGTTGAAGCCAAACAATGGAGTAAATTATCAGGTTGGGATTGAATTTATTGATCTGTGCCTTTAATGTCACTATGACTCCAACAGAAACAAAAAGGACATGAAGGCCTTTGAGTACCAAGAATGCCAAACTATCTTGGGGTTACTTTTGGATGAAATTTATGTTGAGTTTTTGCAGCTACGAGACTAGTGATAAACACTACTAGAGTTATATAGCTTGGAGTTTTAGTAATTCAAAATTCTAATATTAGATTGCTTATGCTGCATAAGGGTAAAATACGAAGAGTAGAAGGAACATCAAATTCTTATTATAAAAACCTGCAATTTACATTGTATATATATAATTACAAAAGGAGAGTGCATGAACACACACTCTCCCTCTCTCTCTATAATGTCGAGAGATAAATAATGTTGTCATAAAATAATGTTTTTAGCTGCATAAGAAGTAAGAAGTATGTAATTGACTAATAATCCTAATTTTGATGCACACAAACCTTTTCACCTTTAGACTTGTCAATCCGTGCTCGTCTTGAATATTCCTGGATCTTTCGATCATGCTCTTTGAGCATCTGATCCATATTGTTTGCTGAAACCAGTAATGGACCAGAGAGATAGATCTTGTTTTCCTTGGACCCATGTCCATCCTGAAACAGAGACCAGCACTAATATTCAGCCAAAAACCTAGGACAAATAACAAATGTATTCAAAATTACAATATTGTGGCAAATTAGGGACATGAAAAACATCATTTTGCCATTATTGATGGCTAGCAAAGGCTTTCACTAACAAATGCTGACAACTAGTGAAACAAAAAGACAATAGAAACTAAGAAGGAAAGAATATTAATTGAAAAAACAAACCTGAATCAATGTTTCAGCAGAGACCTTTCCATTTTCTATTTGACTGAGATCAATTCTCTGAGACTGGCGTTTTTCATCATGCCTTCTTCTTGACTCTGTTCCATTAGTTGACTCCAAAGACTTTTGTACTTGAATTGTTTCTCGGGGCCTCAGCGGAACTTGGTTTTCTTCTTGATCTCCAAAGGGCAAAGTCCTAGATGCCATTAAACCAGATAGTTTTGATAGGTTGACTTTGTTTGAAACAGGAAGCCACTGACCAGCTTCCTTTCCAACCTTTTCCCAGCCAGAACCTGGAACCAAGGGACCTGAATGTGAAGGCCCCTTTATAAGAGGCCCAGAGAAATAATTTTCCATTTCTTTAATATCTTCTGACTGTTTGTGTCGAAAATCAAAAAATCCAGACGCAGGTTCTCTGTGAGGATTGAAAAATTTAATCCGGCTCTTTGAGTTTGAAAGTCGTTGCCCTTGCTGCTTCAAATTAAATTGATATACTGAGATGACAATAGACAGAATGTAGGGGAGTAGAAAAGGAAAATAGGAAAAAATGGAGGCAATTTTCTTTTGGCACATTCAATTGACAGAATCAGAAAGGAATCTCAACTATTCATTCCAATTTTAACAGGATGTACACGATCTCATTTTGTCTTTTTGTACTTACCAATTGAAACTTTGAAATCATAAATTTTCCTTGCAATTGTCATCCTAAGAAAGGATCTTCAGAAAGCCAATGCACATATATCAACCACAGCCAGTTTCCCAGCCAAAAGAGCATTTCCTTATGTGCAGTTTCTTTGTTTTATAATTAACCCATCACTGATGCTCCTAACCTCTTTAAACCCATGCATTCTCTTCTGCATCTCATTATTAAATAAGAAGAGGAACACAGCCTCTGGTGGTTTACGTGTTCTAAAATCATCACAAGATAATTGGTAGGGGATACGTCTTACTCAAATAACTAATAAGCAAAGGCATTAAACCCTCACAGACCAATTTATTTATATTGCTTAATGATCTAATCCAAACTCAAAATTAATGAACTGATTTACAAGTTGAATCAAAAGACAATCCAAGGTACAAAATCTTCCATCTTTTCCCCCCAATTTCATGGTCCCTACATGTATACTATTTGCTATAACACTACAACCAGAGCTATCCAACCAAGGCAGGTTATATAATTTGATTTCAACTAAGGAGATAAATAACGAGAAACTGTGATTTTAAACTTGCTTTGATTACCTGAATTGATGTGCGGGAGTCAGCATTGTCTTTGGATAAGACAAATGCCCCAGGTTCTTTCTCTTGTCTAACTCCTGGTCCAACTTTTTGCTCCTTTCCCCCAACAGGTCCTTGCCTAAGATGATAAAGGAAAAATTTATACTTGTTAGCAATATTCTTAGGTAAAATGTAAGGCTCCAATCTCCACAAATGGATGAATCAAGTGGTGCAGAAAGCAAAGTCAACATTCACCATGAAATATACAATTGCAGTTGAAATGCTAGAAGGCAAATGTTAATGAATTCAAAAATGGGAACTATTAAATGAAAAGTAAAACCTTTTTAAATTCCCAATGTACTAAATGCTGCACTTTTCATCAAATATTTTCCATTTTTTTATTTCTTAACAATTGCCCTTAGGGCACTCATTTGCATGACCCTTGCTACAAAGCTTTAGAAAGCAAAACACATGACTAAACCTTCAAGACTTCAACCACCAACAATATGCATATTTCTTGTGTGATAAGTATCTGAGTTATACATCTCAAATTGTCTTTCCCTCAACTTAATAAAAAAATAAAAAAATTCATCCTATAGTAGGTACCTTCTTGTTGCTTCTTCCCGCAATTTAGTGTCAATCTCTTTGCTGGGAGGATATTTTGGTAAACTTGATGGATCACAAGCAAGAGGTTCCGATGAAAAGAACTGTCAGTAAAGGGGAGAAAAATCAATATGCAGAATCAAGTGCCTCCCAAAAGGTCAGAAAGGAAGATTGTTCCTTCAATATATTGAATGAGTATTGCATGAGAAATATGATTACTATTTTCTACTTAATAAGGTATGTAAAAAGCAGGAAACAACAAAAAGAGCTCCATGATCCAAGCACACACATTAGGCCGAGAGTCTGAGACAATGGTACTCAAAGAGTCAAAGTACATTGTAGAAGTATGGAGCCCAATCTCAACCAGATCACATAAATACTGTACATGCTAGAAACATAAACCCACTTACCTCACTCTTCAGAGCTGTAGCTGTTGTTCCTCGAAGTGCAGGATCTACGGAAAGTAGGGTCTCTATAAGCCTCATGGCAGTAGATGGATATTCTTTAAATGTTTCTGCAACACAACGCCTATATTGGTGTGGAGGCCTGAATATGGTTGAATGTTGCAACCGCAGTTTACGCCAATAGTCCTCAGATGGTGAGCCACAAAGTTTAAAAATCTTATGCAATTGCTCAACCTACATTTAACTAAAATTAAAATTCAGGAACCTAGCTCTATTAATATACAATATCAATTTGAAATTTTGACAAACAGTCTAAGCTAGAATATATTGCTTTGGAAATTGATATTGTGCACAAGGCAGAGAAGAACACTTAAGAAAGTCAAGCGACAGAAAGTGAAGGCATTTATCGTGAGTAAACAATGAAAAATCTATTCTGAAACATCATACCTCTGTTTTTCCAGGCAATATGGGCCTGCCACAATATAGTTCCCCCAGTATGCAACCAGCGCTCCACAAATCCACTGCAGCTCCATAATCAGATGCTCCAAGTAAAAGTTCTGGTGGTCTATACCACAGAGTTACTACACGGCTGGTCAATGGAACACCATGATGGGGGTCAAAAAAATTTGCCAAGCCAAAATCTGCAATCTTTAAGATGCCATTATTGTCAATGAGAAGATTTGAGCCCTTTATGTCACGGTGGAGGACACCACGACTATGACAATGATCCAATCCACTAAGAAGCTGCTGCATGTAGCATTTAACCTGACATATAAGAAACATTACTTAGAATTTTAGACATCTAAGCACAGTGGAGAGCAAGCACAGTTACTTCAATAAAGAGTTCAAATAAGGACAATGCATCCCATCATTAAATATGACATAAGCATGCAGAAGTGTCAATGAAAAACTATCTCAAAAACTTAAGCTGTTAATCAAAGGCTTGTGAAACAGAAGACTTGAGAATGAAAAGATAACATCACTACCTGTGGTTCAGAAAACTTAATGCCAGGACCTGATGCAAGTCCTGTAAGGTCATGTTCCATATATTCAAGAACAAGGTACAAGCTACGAGATGTCTGTGATGTTATCAAGCCTTCCAGCTTTATTACATTTGGATGGTCAAGCCTACGCAGAACAAGGATTTCCCTTGCCATAAACTTGACACTCTCAGGGTCAAGATTATCAAAGCGAACCCTCTTCAAGGCAACGATCTTTTGGTGAGCCACATCTCGTGCCTTATAAACAGTACTGTAAGTTCCTTGGCCAATCTGCATGGTAGAATGCCATCACATGATCATTTAGAAAGTGAGAGAGACTGAGACAGGACTATCACCAATGATAAGAAATAAGAAAATAAAACTCCTTTTTTCAGCAAAATAAGAAGTTTACACTCACAAAAAAAGAAAAAGTTAAGCATCCTAACTGGCGTTATTTCTTTCTCTCTCTCTCTCTCTCTCTCTCTCTCTCTCTTTGAACAATAACAGAATGAAAATTAACCCTGTCTTGAACTCCAAGGCATTACTCAAACACCGCAAAATGCATTGTACACAGAATCCAGTCACTCAGTTTCTATATTCTGTAATCTAACTTTATTGAGCTTTTTCCTTTCTTTCTTGGAAAATGGGTGCAAAAAAGTGGATACAAATCAAATTTACACTCATCTATGCTTCACATGTAAAAAACTGCCACATGATTCCTGCTCAAACATTCTCATGTTAATAAAATTTATTATATTCCAAAATTTAAATATTAGGCTACCAATGTTTTTTCATTTCCCTCCATCCACTCTGCACAGTTTGGTTCCTACACTTTAAGGTGCACAATTACCGGAAATAAAATCGCACTTAATCTAGTCCCCCATCCCCTGAGGCCAAAAAACCACACACAAATTAGCATAATTAATCTGAAGACATTGGCTCTGGTTCAAAATTTCCATTAATAATTTAAACCATGCCAACAAAAGATGATTTTCTTATACATGGCAACGTTTAGAGACTTTTGGCAAGTGCATTCCAAAGACAATAGTAACAATTATTAATTAGTTAATTACACAACAGTTGAACTATAATGCAACAGTAGATTGAGTAAACAAGGTGGTAACTTACTTTATAAAACCTCTCAAAAGTATTAGCACTCCGTGGTATCCACCCCTGGATAGCTTCACCAGCAACAGAAGAAAGCCAAGTTGGCCATCCTGCTGCAACTTGTTCTCCTTCTGAAGCCTTTGGAACCCTTCCAAGACCAGGATAATCAAGAACACTCAATTCGGGTTTCTCCATTTTCTTCTTCCCATTTTGATCATCATACAACCGCACTGAGCCATTTCCTTTCTTGTCAATTAATGAAACTTTCATATCAACACCATCCAAGAACTTATCTTTCCCCCAAACTCCATCGACCCTTTTCTTAGAATTCAATCGTGAAACATTCATCTCTGAGGTCCTTTTGCTAGATGATGTCAATTCCTTTGTCAAACCTTCCCTGCTGTCTTCTACAGCTGAACTCTTGGAAGTTATGCAACCCATGTTGCAGCCACAAGCTAATATTCAACTATACACTATTATTATCCTTGAACAAGCAGCATCACCATCCTCTAGCTAAAATATCAACAACTCCTTCATATGAATTCATGCAAGCCCCCAACTAATATACTCGTGCATCATATTTTTTTTCTTCCTCCAAAAACAAAGGTTGGAGTTTATCCTTATAGGCTATTTGAATAAATTAATAATAATAAATAAGTAAATAAAAATTCACGCTTCTGTTTCTCTTTGAAAAATTCAAACTGACCCAATTCTAAAGTCAGCGACTTCAATCAAATACGGAATTCAGAACCCACCACTAACACTATACCAATAATCGTCAACTTCCAAAAAGGAAGCGTTTTTCCAACAAGAAGAAATTAAAAGGTCTGGAGTGATGATGATCATAACACTGGAATATTATAAATCATAGAATCTATTAAAAATAGAAAGGGGGGGGGAAAGAAAAATATATAGTTTTGGAGCTTTAAAATGGGATTAAGGATAACGATGAAACGGATCATAAACTTAATAAGAAAGAAAGAGTGGTTCCTTTGGCTGAAAGTTCAACGCGTATTCAGTAAATTAAAAAGAGTATTGTCAACCTTATATGACGGCTTTTGTCGACTACACTCAGTCAAAAGACCTCTCTCTCTCTCTCTCTCTCTCTCTCTCTCTCTGTTCCTTTCTGCTTCTCAATGCCGGTGGCAACAGTGCCAATGGAAAAGGAACATCTTCTTAATAAATCTCTTCTTCATAATAAAACATTAATACAACATTTAAATATTATAAAATTGGGTTTAATATCTCTATATTTTACAAGATATAGTTATCTTCTTTACACATATCAAAGTGTGTGGGGCTGTCTTTCTTTTTTTCTCACTCTTCTTTTAACATGACTCTACATGGACTTCACATACTTTTATACTATATTGCATCGACCGACACTCTAAAAAATTGTGACATGTCGAGTTCGACCCTCCTTGATATTTGAATGTTAGTACATAAAGATAGACTCATGTACTTCTTTATTATTATGAATAAATTAATGAATAAAAGTATTCTTTGTATTGTTTCATATTGCCTATCTCAAATATTATACATTTATACAAAATGAATATGAGTAACTGGATAAAGTCCTTATAATGAAACGAGTGTCACGTTGAGGATCTGTGATAGGGATCACGAATATGAGGACTCAATGATACCATACGTCTATCGCCAGAAATATGTTCTTGGTCTAAAGACACCGAGAATGGACAATGGTGATCTCAGGTAAGACTATGGAGATGCAAGGTAAAGACCTCGTGAGCTGCACACATGGAGATATTTTAGCTGACATATGGGTGGACATATTGGAGAATAGTTTGTACTGAACTGACCCGCCAAAAGACACTACAGGAAAATATCACAGATAATATCAATAGATAATGTCTCTTATTAATTGGGTGTGTATTTCCTTAGACTTGACGTTGTCATATAGACCTATGCTCTTGAAGGCTTGCTTTGATTGTATATTGTCTACCTAAAACATGGAGACTCGTAGGCATACTCTTGGGCATGCCCTAAGGACTCAAGGCTAATGTGGCAAGCTGAAGGGATTCGTCAACCTCTGCGAGAGATTAGTTATCAGTAGCCCGGTAAAATCAGATGACATTTACTAGACTTGAGAATTTATGCATAGTAAAATAGTCATGAGATTGACTATCCTTTAAAATTCGTAAATGAAGATTCCCTATTTCGAAAAAAGCTAACCCAAAATCATAGTGGTTGATACGTTTCCTTGCCTTAGGTCTTTGGGACTGAGAACCAAGACGAAAGGACAATACACATGATAACCAAATAGGTATAACAGGCTGATCATTCGACGAACTCCACTGGCTATGGGAAAACAAAGCATTGCTAATGCTCTGTGTTGTTATTAGAGAATTGCGCTCAGTGAGCCCAAACCCATTTATGTCAGTGGTTGTGTTGGGCCTAATGGGTCACACACAAACACCTTGAGTTGTCTTGAATTCTAGTATATGTGATTTGGGACCAATAAGGGTTAATGGGTCTGAGGTGGTGAAACCCATACGATGGGCATGTCATGTTGGGTATGTATAAGATCTATTCATGCTTGAATGTGACGCATGGGAGGCGAAGATGCACAAAAGTGTGCGTCTTGGCCAAAGAAAGGGAAATTGGTGTTGTCAAGTAAGGCTTGATCCATGGCATAACCTAATTATTTAAATGATAAATTAATTGAATATAATTTGAATTCTAATTTTGAATTTTGACTTTGAAATTTGAATTTAAATATGGGTTTTATAAGAGTTATGTTGTAGGAAAAGTGATTGTGTTATGTTATAGAGATTCGTTTTGCGTGTCGAAGTTTTTTTTTTTTTTTGCTGCGGGCCCCACAAAATGTTGTGTGTGTAGGAAAATTTTTGTGGTAATGTTAAATGATAGATGATAAACCCTTTAAATATAGTCAGAAAACTAGATTTGATGACAATAGAGAAAATTAAGAAAAATGGCTAAGATTAAGGAAACCAATCAATTATTTTGATTGCACATGATTAAGGAAACCAATCAATTATATTGATTGGCCAAAATTAAGAAAATCAATCTATTAAATTGATTGGATAAAATTAAGGAAACTATCAAATATGAGTGGGAGGTGATTAAGGCGCTAATTTGACCTAATTAAAGGGTTGATTAGTCGTCATATTAAGTTCCCCTTATTCCTTATTTTTATGTGACACTTTTCTTAATTTCATCTATCCAAAAACTCTAGCTGCATACACACTAGTATGGCGACCTCTCTCTCTCTCTCTCTTGAACTCACCATAGTTGTCATTCTCCCTTATCTCTTCTCTTGAGTTTTAATAACTTCTCTTGAAGGAACTTGGGTGTTGAAGAATCGTTCTTCTCCTACAAGGTGGTGTGTACTTTCATTGGAGGACTTGTGGTTTCAAGTCTCAAGTGGTGATCAAGAACCCTTTGATCAGGGAGTTTTAATTCGAAAAAAGGCATTATCTTTAATCCCTGACATGTTTATTGCATGTATCTTAGGTTGAACATATGCAAGGGTGGGCAAAGGTTGTCTCTTCTGCATGAAAGTTTTTGTTTTCTCCTCTTTTCATGTTCATGGCCTACAAGGGCTTCTTTCACCTCACACTCTAATACGCTCTAACATCTATAATATTTGAAATTTCATTACATATCATGAAAAAATTGATCGATGTTATACCAAACTAATATACTAAAAAATGAAAATGGATACCGAAATAAATCTCACTGGAGTGTATAAGAGATTTTCAGTTTGAAGATATAATAGTAACTATTTACATCTTATGTTTTTGTACAAAATTGATGGGTATTATAAGTTTGATTTTATTTTTTTGTTAATTATTAAATATTAAATATAATATAGACTACGTAAATTAAAAGAGGAAGTTTATACTCACAATCTATTTTCGTTTATAACCTCTTACAATCATATCTTAACCGTTGATTTCTGTTGATCAACGGTTATCATTTATTGTGAATTAATAATTAAATAATGAGTTTGATTTGCGAAAGTAATAATCGTTGATTGGCGAAGATCAACTGTTAAAATATGGTTGTAAGAGGTTGTAAACAAAAATAGGTTTTAATATCAAAATGTGTTTTCTCAAATTAAAAATATTATTTAAGGGTTCGCTTTTTCTGCAGTTACTGCAGATGAGTTGTCTGTAGTAAGCCGAATACGACGTTGTTTTGGGGCGGAAATCATGTTGTATTTGTAATTTTAATTTATTTCAGGATTATAATAGTCTTTATATTTATAATTTTTTAAGATTTCAATATCAAAACGACATCGTTTTGAGAATAAATGCAGATTACTTATCTGCATTAACTGCAGAAACATTTTTCCCATTATTTAATATCAAAATATGTCCTAACATATCAAAATCTAACATTTTGTAGAATTAATATGTCATAGTTTCATATAGTGTCCCGTGTCGATGTCAGTATAATATAGCTTTTCTATTTGTCTATATGAGAAATATCAAACCTTATAAAACTATTAGTTCACCAGATTTTCTTTCATATTTGATATTTAAGGAAACTCAAATAAAATTTTAAAGATACTATTTGTACTTTAAATGACATCAATTGATAATTTCAACCACTACATACTATTTTAAGGCGAACAATTCACCGATTTTGTACTTTAAATGACATTAATTGATAAAATAACTATTTATCATTTAATATGAGAAAAATTCTCATGCAATACACACAATTAAAAAGTGGATTTTATTTTTATTTTTTGTCTTTTTATTTTTTTATGGATCTCACCTATGTGTTGTGTGTGTAGCAGAAGAAAATTTTCTCATGTAAAATGAGAAAATTAATCCCCTTGACTTATAGCTTAAATTTAACTTTGTTTTCTTCTATTTTCTTCTTCGTTTTGAAATAGTTTTTCACAATGGAAAGTATGATAAATTATAACTATAATTAAAACAATCTTCTTTAATAAATTTTATTACCTGAATGATGGAAGCATTGTCCTCTGGATTAGATAGTGGTGTTCCGACAAAAGCTAGTTGGGAGAACAGGATGGCGTACTTTTAGAGTAAAATTACGAGTAAAATTTCGTGCAATTTTGGAGTTTTTTTTACCAAATAATCTTTAATTTTTTTCAAAATATAAAAAAAAAATAAAGAACCGAAATATGGTTATTTTATACACGGACGGTGCCTCTATCTAAAAAAAAATTAAACTAACTGCCACGTTAACTCTTATCTTAAAAAAAAAAAACAATTGAAGATGCTGCCACGTAATAACATTTGCAGAAGACACTGATCCATTTAAATTATTTAATGCCTCCGAAATACATACTCTCTTCCTCAAGACACTGACGAAGGAGAAATTGGGAACACCGTAATCAAATCATGTTCCCATTTTGGTGGACTCTGTCAAAGATAATTACAACAGGTCCAATTATTTTCATCACGTTGAGCCATCAAAGAAAACACATCACCGTCCACCCACCACTTTCCTTTTCATGAGTCAGCAAGCGGCATCAATTGGATAAATGTTAAATATTATAGATATATGAGGAAATGATAGTAATCCTTGTTGTATTAAACTACACAACATTGGTGCTATTATATAGCAAACTAATTGAAGAATACAAAGAGACACACTCAATGTAGGACTTCTACACTATTAACACTAACACTCTTAACACTCCCCCTCAAGCTGTAGCATATAGATCATATGCTACAAGCTTGATACATAAATAATACTCCCATTAGGAACCAAAAACAACAATGCTACATCAACGAAATGAAATGACTAAGTACAACAAATCAACTGGAATGACCATCAGTTTGAAGAGCTGATAAAGAGACAGTGCTGGAATGGACATCAGAGCATGGATGGTGTCAGAATTATCATCGACAAAGACAACTGAGCTGACCAGGACATCAGCATCAAGATCCCTATCAGACATTTCATTTAACAGTTGGTGAGCAGCCGTGGTTTCCCCTTGACTATGCTACAAGCTTATTACAAGAAAGACCAAGTAACATAACATCAAAATAAATCTCCTAAATGAGAAACCAAAAATCAACAATGTGCTAAAAAT